TCTCGGAGGCAAAATGAGCAAGAACGCTCATTTGTACATCATTCTAGACAGAAATAAATGGCCTTTTTAGCAAGTGAACCATCGATAAGGAAATGGTGGCAGTTTTCTCAAAAAATGCTTAAATTCAAGAAGTTTTAGATTGGCGTGGTTTTTTTTGAGTTGCAAAATCCACTTGAACATGACGCTGCTTTTTTCGAAGTTTCTCAAGAACCAATCGAGCCAGAGAGAATTAGTTTTGGTATCGTTGGATAGAGAATTGAATGGGGGGGGTCACGACCCCCCCCCCTGGATCCGCCCTTGCATTGGGGTAAACTAAGGAATGTTTACGTTAAAATAGGGCGACTAACTAATCCACATTAGGTCGAGCCTTTAATTCGTCCTTACACAAAGTTCACTTGCGTGAAAGTGAGAGTTTTACATAAGTTTGTAAGTTAACTTCGAAAGCAAGCAGCATTTGGCCGGAAGAAGGAAGGAAAGAAAACTCAATTTCCAATAAAACGAAGAACTACGCAATTTATTTATTTCTGAACAAACTAAACCCCAAATGAATATAAGTTTTCACTATATATAAGTTCAATATCGCAAAAATTCACCCCACAAGGATACGATAATAAACTCCTACACTAAATACAGGGACTTGTGAGTATGCCACACCTCACAGAAACCTAACAATTATTACACAATTAATTTAATTTGTGTAAAGTCCATTTATATAAAATACAACCTGGCAAAAAATTATTAACATTAACAGCAAATTAATTGATTTGCTGAACAATAAAAATAAGTGCCAGTTTTAAAAGGGGGCGGGGGGCTAAAAGCCTCCCAAATATAAAATGGGCAAACCCGTAGGTGCCAATAACTGACACACTAATGACCGTAGATCATCCAGGCCCCATTTATAAACAAATATATTCAAGTTACAGCCGCAACTTGAGCTACATTTTTTCGTGAAATGTCACGAAGTTCAAATCATTGTGTCCTGAATCCGGACACAAGACCATTCAAACCCTGCACAAAATACAGGGCGATGCTCTAATAAGAACATGAATCGCTTTTGCCTTTCGGCCGCTCCGATACGCATTTACGTATCTCGCAAATGAAAATACCAGATTTAGTAGGTGAAATACTAAATAGCAGTAATTCCTTTGTGCACATCGCTTACAATTGAAACACGTTCTAGTGAGCGATTTGCACGTTTGCAACGCAATAAAACCGCATGTATATACGGGACTTATGTATATGTGAAACGCATAAAAAAACTTAAATATTAATATTTCTTTGCTGGAATTTAAAAAATAATAATTTCTTAAAGCACTTGGAAGTTTTAAACAAATTTGCTGCATATTTCCTTGATGTCAATTCGAACGATTGTACATTCCAGCAAAGAAAACTCTAATTATATTTCCTGTTACTAAATATTGACCTGTATATTGTTCCTAAACGTATATAGCATAGTTACTAACTAGGGGTGAAATGCTCGTTACACGTTTACTTCCTTTCCGCAGCAGAGGAAACATCCGATTCATCCCCATTATCGGAGTTATGACGAGAGTTTCTCTTCTTCCTATATTGACGGGAAATGCCTCCTCTATCTGTATGTCCTGAAAAAGGTTGCAATATTGGCATTAATAGTGTGTTGGCAAATATTTTAAGAACATGGTTAAAGATAATTTTAAGGGGCGTTTCTTCAATAACAGTTTTTGATCTGAACTGTCCGGATTCCTTTCAGATGTTGATTATGTACACTGTAAGCGACCTGATAACTACAATAAGTGAGCAATAGGGGGACATTTCAAAGAGGTAAAGGTGAATAGTTCCAAAAGCAGAAAGGCGGCAGGATCAATGAAAAATCAATCAAAATCCTGAAACTTCAAGAGTTTCCATAATAAAGTTCTAGATTAATTTTCGATTTTTAATATGCGGGGCAATATCGATCCATAATCTAAAAGAGAGCATTTACAGAAAATGCGAATAACATTCTTACTGGGCTCTACACAAAGAGACTCTCATTTTTACTCAATAGACTATTCAATGACACTCCACAACAAATCCCCTTCATTGCCCAAGGAACATTTGCGGGAATGTTTAAAAGATTCAATAGTCCAAAATATAAATTAAAATAAAAGTTGGATCTTGGTAACACATACCTCTATATTCATTAAATGGTCGGTTGTAGGGCTGAGGGCCCGGATGGTTTCTCTGAGATGGATCAGCTTCACCCTTGAACTGAGAACTACAACAATCTTAATTAATATGCACCCTTTTGACAAAGATATTTCTTTTACCTGGGACCGTAAGATGGGAATGGCCGATATTCGTCCCTAGGCGGGTATGGATTACGCGCCGGATACTCATTCCTAGGCGGAAATGAATCACGTGGTGGATACCCATCCCTAGACGGGAATGAATCACGCGAAAATTGCTCATCCCTAGGCGGATATGAGTCACGTGGCGGATAGGGATCTCGTGGTCGATACTCATCCCTAGGAGGATACGGATCACGTGATTTGTACTCATCCCTAGGAGGATATGGATCACGTGGCGGATACTCATCCCTAGGCGGATATGCCTTTCTCGCCGGATAATCATCTCTAGGATATCTTTCCCTACGCGGGTATCCATCTCTCGGGTCGTACTCCCTATTCGGGTAATATTCATCTCTAGGCGGATATCTATAACGTGGCGGATAATCGTAATATGATGAGTAGTCATCGCGTGGTGGATATTCATCACGGGGCGGATAGCCATCGTTCGGCCTATATTCTCCCCGTCGCGGATATTCATCACCTGAGCGATATCCGTCACGTGATGGATATTCTTTTCGTGGTGGTTCTTGATCACGAGATGAGGCCCTAGGGGGTTGATCAACGGCGGATGTACTAGCTGGAACAGTTAGCTTTACTTCGACAATAGGCACCGTTGTCGCCTTGCCAACCTCTAAAAAATCCGAATTGAAATTTATTTGGGCATGTTAAGAGGCAAATGAACCACTAACCAGTATTCGCGGCTTGAGAAGGAATAAGTGGTGGAGGCTTCGAGAAGTCATTATTAAAGAATAATGGCTGAGGCTGTACATTAGGTGGCTTAGCGTTGGGTTTATATGGCGGTGGTGGTGTTTTAGATCGGGAGTAGTTTGGTCGTCCTGGATTGTTATTTTTGTAGAAAGTTCCTCGGATATTTCCACGGAAATTCGGGCGTCCTCCTGTTAATAGATACAAAAATTAATTTTAATCTGGACGGATTGTCGCGTTTGGACTTGAGAACTGAATGGCAAAGTTTGAAATAGAAAGTCGCTACATGGGGAAGTTTGCAAATTTGTGATGTGAACTGATAAACCTGATAACATTTTTACATCTAAGCGATTGAAAAATCATGAGAAACAATGAGAATCAACCCCATAAAGTGCAAACCTTTGAGCTTTTAAGCGTTCCATATATGTCTTCTATGCATGGGAAACAATGCATGTGACTAACCTTGCAAAACTGTCTTTATTCCACGGAGCTTATATAATTTTTATTTTAAAAGATCGATTCAATATCTTTCAGACAATGCAGAATGTGACCTGCCCTCGCAAGATTGGAAACAGATTCGCATTTAAGTGACCATTTCTTTGAGTTTAGAAGATCTATTGACCATGTGTGAGAAACGATGAAGAAGACTTAAACATTTTTTTTTATAGTTTCTCAAAGACTTACGGTGGTTTTGTTGATTATATGGTCTCGGGTTCGTTTGCTTGGCGTCATTTGATTTCTGATTTGTATTTAGATCATTTGGCTTGGTTTGCTTGAACACTCCTTGGTGCAGATATTCCGTTAATTTATGCTCATTAGTCCTGCCCTTCTTTTGTGACTTGAAAAGTTCGTGAATTTTTTTACCAGTCAAAGGTAATTTGAACAATTCCTGTATCGACTTATTGACGTCTTGAGGCGTTACGTCGTCTGGCTTGCCCTGATTCTTTTGCACTTCGGCAGCTTTAGCAAATATATTTTTCATCTGTTTGTGCTTAGATAGTAGCCTTTGGAGGCCTCTAAGCTTGCTTAAGTCACAATCATTTCCCAAGCGTCGCGTCCTGGAATGGTTAATAGTAGTGAGTTATTATTTAAGCTTCTAAGAGTACGAAAGTAACATACCTTTCACACAACTGATTGATGTACTCGCTGTATGAGTCCGAGAAAGGAGCAATTGCGTTGTTGGCCAGAAAATGAGCGAACTTCGCATTGTACTTAACAACCGTATTAAGCTCCGCTTCTAACTGAGCTTTGCGCTTTTCGACTTCTTTAACAAGTTTATTCACCTGTTCTATGACAAGCTCTTTCGTATTGATGGTTTTGATAACGTTTTCATCTTTTTTACTAGCATTTACTTTTTTTGTGTCATAGTAAACGTGCATGTGCACTTTATAGCTGTGCGAGCATTCCTTGCAGGTTTGACGATCGGGTCCCATGCAGGCACAGCTCATCAACTCCGGAATGCCAATTACGTCCCTCGGCAGGTTTTGCAAGTAACACGGCTTGTGGCATGGAACTTTAAAATGTTGCTGCTTTTTGCCTTCTCCAATCTTGAACGTTTCAAAACTGAATATTTCCTTGAATCAAATGGTTTGGTGTACTTACAGAGAGAACATCGGTGCAGGCAGAGTCAGTGCAGACAGTCACCGGCTGTGTAAGAGGAGTGACCTCCAAGTCAATAATGGGAATATATAAATTTTTTCTTAACATTGGCAAGCTGTTTTTGTGCTGGGCGAGTGTCCGCTGATGATTGGCCAAAATTTGTATGTTGTCTTCGATTAATTCAGCGATATCAGCCACCGGCTGAGTTAGCTGATAAATCGTTTTCCTAGCTTGGTTGATCGCTACCGTATTATCTACCATATGTGGTGCCAAGCGCGATACATAGTTGAGCATTCTAAAGAAAAATTAATTTAATTGCAATTAAATTCCGGAAACTGCGAAAATGGAGTATTATGCGGTATTGTTGGTGAAACGAAATTGTTGTATGTTTTGCTGCGCTGAGGCTGTGTGTTAAAATCTGGCCAAGGAGTTAAAAAGTAGCAAATATTGAAACGGATTTGTTTAAAACGCTGTAATAATACATACGCCCAACATTGCTGCATTGATTTGTTCCAACTCGTAATACTTGATGCACGATCTTCCGGATTTAATTGTATCCGACGCTTGATGGCTGCAAGTGTTTCGAACGCTTCATTATCGAAACAGAATACGTTGTTTTCTAAGGGAATTTCTGCATGTGCTGGATTCGCTTTGATTTCCTCGGCAATGTTTTTGAAAAGTTCCAACGCCTTCCCGGGCTTGAAGTTTGTTCCTAAATAAGATCATTCATTATCTATACTTGACTTTTCGCAGTAATATTGCGTACCTCTAGCATGTGTGAACGCAAAAACGATATTCTTGCATGCAGATTTTTCCAGTCTGGACAGAATCTGCGAGACGCAGTAATTGAAATAGACGGTGCTTCTTGATTGTTGCGGTTTGGTAAGGTAGCAAATTGCATGCAACTCATGTAAACGACTGATGTAATTTAGGATATTCTCGCAGTTTTCGTCATCCGCCTCAATTCCTCTGGTGTCGCCCATTCCAGGGGTGTCAATTAAGCGAACCAAGGTTTTACCAGTATTAATGTAGAAGCTGTAGGTTTTCACAGCTTGTGTGGCCGATGCGCCTGTTTTCAACACCTCATTGGCAGCATCTTGTTGGGAGTTAAATATCACCTCCTGTTTTTTCCCATTCTTATCTTCGATGAAAAATTTTACTGGTATGAGCACGTTCAGGAATTCTCGCTCAGCCTTCTCAAACGTCTCAAATTGCAGATAGTTGAAGATGGAATTGATGAATGTCGATTTTCCCACTCCTGTTTCTCCCAGCAACAGAATATTCACCTCTGTCCGGTTTATATCCATCAATGAGAGATTTCCAAGCTTCTTCAAATTCTCGTTGTTCGTCATGGTGTTCTGCTCATCTAATTGCGGATCTGGAAAAAATAAAAATATCTGACGACGGCATTAAAAGCCCGAAAAACTGACTAGTTTCGTGCTTGATTATCAAAAGAGTTAAATTTTCGTAATCATTGCTGCAAACTCATGAGTTGTTCGGGATTTCAGACCAGCATGGAAAATAATCCCTTCACGAGGTTTCACAAGCACGCATCCTTACGAAACTTCAGGAAGAAATTATTTTCCAGGTCGGTCTGAAAGCGCAAAAATCCCACTAGTTATTTATTGCTGAAACCCAATTTAGATGCGTGGAAAGGCACCAGGTTCAAACAATGTTCTAATACGAAATCAGGGCATTTTTACATAGCACTAGCAGATGTGAGAAAAAACATGATAATGCAAGTTTAAAACTAATGGGTTTTTCGGGTTTTTAGGCCGTCGTTGGGTAGAATTTCTTCTTGACGTTTCGCAAGCACGAGTGGTTCTCACCTTCACTGAGGTTCAGAACCTCAGAACAGTGTAAGCCTTCAAGCAAACCACTTCTGAAGATGCAAGCCACTCGTGCTTACGAAACGTCAAGAAGAAATTCTACCCAACGACGGCCTAAAAACCCGAAAAACCCATTAGTTTCAAGGAATGGCCTCGAAAGTCTATCTCTTTTGATAATGTAAGTTTAAATCGTTATCAGTTTTATCAAAAATTATTTTTTTTGGCAACAAACATCCCAAATTTACATTTAAAGATTCGGGGTAAAACCTGAAAATCTAGTGTAGGCCTTTGCGCAAATAAATTTTCTTACATATTTTATGACTGGAAAAGCTTATTCTCTTGTGGGTTCTGTTGCAATAAATCTACATTTTTTCACTAGTTCTACAGAGTGAAGTACCAAGCCAAGTGTAGAAACTCGTTTTACTAGTTTCTGTTGAAGCCATTGTACATTTATCTTATCAATACAAATAATGATAAAGACTATAATGATAAATGTTTTAGAACGGATGGAAATAATGCTGACAAGGGTGATTTTTTAAAACTGGAAACAAGGCTTCAATATTTGGTATTTACTGAATAATTAGTATGTTGTAATGTTAGGGTAGTCTATGTACGTAAAATGGATCTTTTCTTTGGTAAAAACGTCCACACTGAAGATAAGTTCTATACACTGACCTTTGGAAAATCGATTCACGTTTGCAGTCGGATTTTGACTAGGATTCTCAGAATTTTGCTCATTAGGCGGTTCTGGGGTACTTGAACTACCACCCATCGAAATTTCACCCTGAAACAAACGTTTTATGTCTATTAAAACACTTGGTCTACAAGTTAACTAATTGTACACACAGACAACTTTTTTTGTTGTTTGTGTATTTATACCTATGGTTAAAAGTTCTTGTAATATTCAGTTTTTACGAGGACAGAACGAAATAGTTACCTACCTAAATAATTTCAATTGGGGCTCAACTACTGGAATTTTTTACTTACCCTGTGTAAACAATTAGTGTGTGGTCAATTTCCTATAAAAGAATCTTCTGATACAGATGGAAACAAAAATTGATTCGAAAATTTCTGAACGTTGTTATACTCGAGGATCTGACTACAAAATGGCTTCCATCCGATCAGTCGGTCTCCACATAAGCTTGGTGGCTCAATTATAATCAAGCTGATAAGCAAATTTTCTAAAAATTGTAACGGTGGTACCGGCAAGTTGTACTAGATTTTTCTCGCGCCTCAATCAAGTCGAGCCATACTACCTACGCGAACTGTTTTTCTCACTTTCAATTCCCTAGCAGATCTTGATATTGGATTTTTCAACTATTTCCAAGAATTGCCTTGGATATTTGTGAAGAACTTCCAGAAAAGATGAGCTTTACTCGCATTTTGATCAACAGTCGTTTTAGTTTAGGTAAAGTTTTTCTTTCCCCATCTAGACGATGTTTAACTTTTTCGAACCGCATCAAATTTACTGATATTTAAATAATCGCTTGAATATTTAAAATGAATTTTTAATCAAAAAAAGATTCTCATGTTTCCAGGTTCGTGGTCATAGGTTTACGAGAAAACAATGGCACGCCACTGCTTTCCCGTAAAATAAAATATATCTTGTGACTTCGCAGCAATTTCTGATCCAATTTGATTTTATGTATTTATTTCGGGCGATGCACGGTTTTCGCATAAAAAACTAAAATTGTCTAACTTCAAGATCTAATAATAGAAGGTACTTGTTTTTTTTTCAATACATATACACTATAGACACACAAATAGACCTTGCTCAAATGTGAAAAAAATCCAAATATACATGGGTCTGCAAAAGCGTCGTTTTCGAAATACAGCGCGTCAAACTTTGCTTTGACAAATACAAATTTATAAACATTTGCAAAACCTTTTTATAAATTTTAATTAAACTTTGTGGGTAGTGTGCTCATTTTCCATTTTTTATTTGTTTGTGCCAGTGGCATGCATACTGCTATGTTTTTGGATATTTTAAAATAAAAATCGCACGACACTGTTTTTTTGAATAATAAAAATATGTCTTAATTGACTGTTCAATCATGAAGAAAAAAAGCGCTCTTTTATTTCTGTCGTACAACCGTTGCCCGGCAAAAAGAACATTTTCATGATGTCCAATATCCAAGAAAATTGTTGAAAATTCTTCAAAAATCCATCTTCAAGAATAGAATTTTTCTTTGGGTCTTCTGGTTGAATAAAACAGGCCAATTTTATGTCTATCATAATCATATCTTTATACCACAGCAACTGATCTGATTAGTACAATTGGAGCAAATGTACTGTGGATAGAACAAATACCAACGTTTCTTCAACCGCCAAACATCTGCCGTTCAAAATAGGCAAGTCTTGCTATATTTTCGTGATGCGCTTCAACTTGATCGTGTAGTTGGGGGACTACCCGGTCCAAGCGGTGTTGCGTTTGGTACTCGAGTAAAGTCAAGTACATTTTGTCAAATTTACAAAATTTTCCATACCAATCAGAACTGAATTTGGCTTTTTGCATATGACTAATTAATCTTCAATTGAAGAAAGTGGACAGTGCTTTTTCCGATATGATGGTTCCAAAATAAACATGTTAAAACGTCGGAAATTTTAAAATACCAACTGATTTTACGCTGATTCCACTCCCGTTAAGAAACCAAACTCCATCACTGAGAAGGATTGTTAGGAACAGCATGGATATTTTTTTCAATTGATTCATTAGCAACATAATTTGCGGACGTTTCGCCTGATTTATTTTGCGATCCTCACGAAATGGCCCTGATACTGCCAAACAGAACACACACAATCCGTTTTTTTTATTGCAGATGTTTTAGCAGCTTTGTTTGCGACATTAGGAAATTTGTTCTGGGGCATTAGATCGGTGCAAAAGCCACAGCCAAGGGCTGATCCAGATTCAATTCTCTATCCAACGATGCCAAAACGAATTCTGTGGCTCGAATGGTTCTTGGTTCAAGTGGATTTTGCAACTCAAAAAAAACACGCAAATCTAAAAATTCTTGAATTCAAGCATTTTTTTGAGAAAACTGCCAACATTTTCTTATCGATGGTTCACTTTCTAAGAAGGCCATTTATTTCTGTCTAGAATGATGTACAAATGAGCGTTCTTGCTCATTTTGCTTCCGAGAAACATG